CCAGAAAGGGGCTGAAACCGCGTCCTTTGGGTGCACGCGGCTCGTGCCAAGATGAAACCCCCTCCCCGGTGCCTGGTCCTGCTGGGACCCCCCTCTCCCCCCCACAGGGGGCTGCAGGGGGGGGTCCCACGGCCTGGGCTGGGGAAGGAGGCACCAGATGGAGAAGGAGCCTGGGACAGGTTGCCCGGGGGGGCTGGGGCTGCCCCGGCCCTGGGGGTGTCCCAGGGGGGGCAGAAAGGAGGATCCTCAGCCCCTGCACCCCCACACCCGGCACAGCCCCCGCAGGGCCACGGAACCTCTGAGCATCATCGAGTGCAACCCCCCTGCCAGGGCAGGACCAAAACCAGGGCAGGGCGCTCAGGAAACGCATCCAGGCAGGGCTGGGAAGTCCCCAGAGTCCCCTACCCCTCTGGGCAGCCTGTCCCAGGGCTCCCTCACCCTCATGGTCAAGAAGTTCTTCCTCATGTTGAGGTGGAACTTCCTGAGCTTCAGTTTGAATCCATTGCCCCTCATCCTGTCCCAGGACACAAGTGACAAGAGCTTGTCCCTGCCTTCTTGGTGCCCTCATGTATTGATAGACATGAATCCCGGGGGGGCACAGACCTTGCCCCTGCCCTCTTGGCACTGCCAAGCCCCTCTCTCTGCCACCTGCCACCTGGCTGGGCGTGCAGGCAGTGCCCTGCCCTCCACGGAGGGATTTTTTCTCCATCCCTGGGTGCCAGGGATGCTCCCATCCCTCTGCTGGAGCTGGCACCCTGGGGGGCAGGCACTGCCCACTTCTTCCTCATGTTGAGGTGGAACTTCCTGAGCTTCAGTTTGAATCCATTGCCCCTCATCCTGTCCCAGGACACAAGTGACAAGAGCTTGTCCCTGCCTTCTTGGTGCCCTCATGTATTGATAGACATGAATCAGGTCCTCTCTCAGTCTTTTCTTCTCCAGACTGAACAGCCCCAGGTCTCTCAGCCTGTCCTCATATGACAGATGTTCCAGTCCCTTCATCATCCTTGTAGCCTCTGTTGGACTCTTCCCAGTAAATCCCTGTCCCTCTGAACTGGGCAGCCAGAACTGGACACAATGCTCCAGATGTGTCTCTCCAGGGCAGAGCAGAGGGGGAGGAGAACCTCCCTGACCTGCTGGCCACACTGTTCTTGATGCTCCCCAAGACACCATTGGCTCTCTTGGCCAGGAGGGCACGTTGCTGACCCTGGGTAACATTGCACACGTGTGTACACAGCTCACACACACCTGTGCCCCACACTGCATGGGGCAGGACGTGGAACCATTGAACCACGGACTGGTTTGGGTTGGAAGGAACCTTAAAGATCATCCAGTTCCAATCCCCCACCATGGGCAGGGACACCTCCCAGCAGCCCAGGCTGCTCCAAGCCCCATCCAACCTGCCCTTCAACACCCCCAGGGATGGGGCAGCCACAGCTTCCCTGGGCAACCTGGCCCAGGCTCTCCCCACCCTCACACTCCACAATTCCCTCCTCAGCTCCAACCTCCAGCTCCCTCTCCCACTTTTCATCCATCCCCCCTTGTCCCAAGCCCCCCTTGCACACTCCCATGTCACACACACGTGTGTGTGTGTCCCCCCCATGTCACCCAGTTGGGCACAACCCGGGGCTGCCCCTCCCCCCACCTCCCAAACCAGCAGCTTTTCCTTTTTATTTTTTTTTCCTTTGTTTTTAATTAAAAAACGAACCCAAACCCAAACGTACAAAGAACAGGAAAATTTACAGCTGGTTCATCTGGAAAAAAGAAAAAAACAACAAACAAACAAAACAACAAAAAAAACCACAACAAAAAAACCTCCAAGGCATCAAAGGAAGGGGTGGGGACAGACCTGGGGGGGCAGCTGGTGGGAAGGGGGGGTCACTGTCCCATGGCCACG